CCCTCCCGAAAGCTAATTACTGAGATCCCCCTCCCCCCCGGAAAGCTAATTACTGAGTGGCTTGTGCCACCACTTCCAACCATCATCACCACCACCTATCAATAGGAGCATAGTTAATAGAGTTAACTATGATAGAAGCACAACCATCCTTAATAATAATAATAATAATAATTATTATTATTATTATTATTATTATTATTATGTTCTTGTTTTTGATGACGATGATGATGAAGATAGATGATGATGATGATGATGATAATGATGGTTATTCAACTTATCATTTATTGACAGGTAACATCAAGTGCCATGCCCTTGGTATGGAAGATGGTAGGATCCTTGATTCTCAAATAACAGCTTCCAGTGTATACTCTTCTTCTTGGGCAGCTCACAAAGGACGACTGAATAATGCTGCTGGCTCTTGGCTTTCGTCCGGTACGGTCTCTCAGTGGCTGCAGGTTAACTTGCTGAAGAAAACATTCATCAAAGGTGTGGCTACTCAAGGAAGGCACGATGCGTATCAGTCCACAAAGACTTATCAGCTGTCGTACTCAGATGACGGGGCATATTGGAACATTTAMAAAGAGAAAGGAATCGCGAGGGTTAGTTTACTTTTTCAATAGTTTATAATAGTTTTAGTTCCAATAATACTTCTAATTTTAGAGTGAATAACAAATTAGCGAATAATGACATTGACATTTTTACACACCCCATCCAAAATAGCCACAAAAACAAAAAATATCCTGCAGTTTGGTCGTGAGTGTAAAATCTTTACCACAAATTGTAGCATTACTAACAGCAATTTCTACTATGYATTTTGTTTTTCAGACCTTCCAAGGTAATACCCAACCCAATATTATTGTCAAGAACATGCTGACAGAACCATTCACAGCAAAGTTTGTGCGACTTTTAACGACACCATACCCTGGAAACCGGGCTGTTTTACGAATGGAACTGTATGGGTGCCATGTTTAAAGTAAATTGTTTATAGCTGCAGGGAAATTGTTGGCTGACATAAGCTAGAACAAAAACAATTGAAAGAATACAACAGCATAACGTAAAACACAAAGATGCGACTAAAATCCGTTGATGATACTTACCCCTAACTCTATATATTTTCAATATTGATTCTYATGAAATGAATAGTTGAATGATATTTTTTAAATATGATTTGAGTGACGTTTCCTTGGAGATCAAAGCTTATACTTCCGATATGTTAAAACGTCCGATTCTTTCACAAATAAACATTTTGATGTTCTGAGGTAATTAAAGACCGGAGAGTGAAATGTACGACGTTCGTTACTTCAAACCAAGATGGAATTTAAACTTTGAATAATGAACTGAATCTTTGAACCTTGATAGGAACGCATACTTGAGCTGGTTTGACTGTAAAACACCTCGATTATTCTTAATTATACTGCCTTTCGCGGATTGTGAAATCGCCGAGCACCACTTTCCGTTCGCCCCCTTTCAACCTTTTTTTTGAAGAAATAGCTGCAGGACTTTCATATCTCCAAGACATATCATTCGAATCATATAAAATAATTTCACCATCTATCTATCAACGTCATGTAGGATCAATATTAAAAATATTGAGTAAGGGTAATGGGCACTTCATCTTGTCACCTATATACATGCATATATTATGCTTTATTTATATCAGTATAATTCCAGACAAAGCTAATCACTATTTACTCACGTTATTATATGTTATAGAGCAGTTTTCGTATGACTGTGAAAAGCTCAGTGCCTTGAACGTGACGTGCCGTGACCGTGATACTTTCTAGAATTTTAATTGGCTGATTTTTTTCACCCGCAATATGATTGGTCTAGATATGCCGCGATATTGGYGTGACCGTGTCCGCGCCGCGTTTATGCCGTGTTCCGGGTATTTGATTGGATGGAGAGTAAATTCTCATGTAATGTTATTTGTCTGGCGTATCCCTTGCTGTGTCACGACCATGTTTGTGCCGTGAACTTTTCACAGTCATACGAAAACTGCACTATGAATTGCCTTGAAAAACAGTAAAAAATAGTCTCTGAACTGATACACACGATTTTAATTCCAACCTTCATTACACATGTTTTCCTTTAATGAATAAGTCTTGACAGCCTCAATAACTCTTTTTAGATTTAGAAGGATTATTCGTAAGACAAACTGAATACAATGTTTTCACATTTATTTCAGTGCAACTTTTTCTCAGGATGAATCGATTTGATCTTGCATGCCTTATTTTACACGTCTTTCTTCCTGTACTTTTGAGACTTCCTGCAAGCTTCCTTACCCTTGACGTACAGACAAAGGCGCATGTTAGATATATCTCTGCTTACATTACCTGCATGAAATGGAGTGTTAACAAACAATAAAAAATAAATAAAAATATAGAGTTAATGAATTTTGTTTTACTTAATACTATACATATATTTAATAATTTCTGATATTTTCATAAAAGAAAATAAAAAATTTGAATTGCGATAGAAAGAGGGCGAAGAAAGGAAGTTTGGAAGAGGAAGGATTAACTAGATTGATGGAGGGATGGAGGGATGGAGGGATGGAGGGATGGAGGGATGGAGGGATGGA